CCGCTGGAGCAGAGGTCTGATGGAAGCTTGGCTGCTCCGACGCCTCTGGGAGGACTGTGGGAGCCCAGCGAGGTTGAACGGTAAAGCCTTGACGGCAGTTCGAGGCAACTACTGCTTGAAAGGAGAACAGGCCCCGACACCGAGGCGAACATCGGTGCTCCATGCAAACAATGAAAGGCCCCAGTGCCAATAAGTTTCCCTGAAAGCACCACCGCCTTTTACAAGAACGAACTCCGCACTTGTCAAGCTACTCTTGCCATGTGCCTGGTGGAAATGGCACCAGCGCCGCAACGGCAAAACAGCAATCGGAGGCCATGTCAGCAGCTCTTCATCAATGAGAACGTCCCTCTTGCATAACACTGTTTCTCATGTTACGTTGCTGATCATTGAAGCTTATAATGCACATCGATGAAGCTGCCTTCGGCAGGAAACACACGGACTTTGGCTACTGTAAGCGCCTGCGAACTTCTCAAACAGCTGCGGCAGCGGTACAACTTATGTTTCCCAGAAAAGGTTTCAGCATACGCAACCATGCAACAAAGAGAGCGACACCAGCTGCAGGAAGAGCCCCTGCTTCGCAGATTTCATGGAGGGAAGGCAGGTCTCCAGGGGTCGCTGCATAAGCAATGGCGTGAGCTGATCTACAACCCGATGCCAGCAAACGCTTGTTTTCCGGACAATGGATCACGCTTCACTAGCCCTTCTGCGCTGGTCGCTTCCCCATGATTCGGAGAGACGACTCCCTTGGTCGATTAAAGGGTGTTCGCTTCTTGCGAAATCCCTCAGAAGCAGCAGGCTTGCGGAAGGCAGGCTTGCGACGCACAAACTCACGCACGGTGGCCACCTCTGCCTTCCGCTTCCCAGCCAAGGGGAGGCGAGCCTTCTCCGCGGAGGCAGCAAAGGAGATCCACTCCGCACGCTTCCAGGGCGAGAGGGCAGAGGCCCTGCACAGGAGTGTTGCTGCATCCACCTGACGCAGAGTGGGTCGTCGCAGAGCCAGATTGTGTGGCCACAGCTTGGACAGACGCAGAATATGCAGTTTCAGCTGCAAAGTGGATTTGTGCATCTCCTGGGTCTGGCGAAACCAGGCTTTGAGCTCGGCGTGCAGCGCTTCATTGGATGTAGTGCCGGATGGCAGGAGCTCCATGTAATGACTAGGCAGAGCTGCCAGAGCCTTTACGTTGTTGAAAAACCAGCCGAGCCTTTGCGGGGAACAGGCTGAGAAGAGCATCTCGCGCACGGTCCTGTTCGGCCCCGGCACTTTCCGGTCCATTTCTGAGGGATAAAGGCGAGCAACAGCAGCGAGCGCTTCGATCAGCTCCAAGCGCTGCCTCCAGGGAAGATTGGCATCAACTTCCTGCGTTACCCGCTCTGCTGTGGCAGACAGCATGGAGCCTTTCCGAATCTGCTCGCGCTTGTTGCTTTCGATCAGAGTAAGAGGCTCGGTGTTGGTGCCATTGAAAGCTGCTTCATACACAATGGACTCGGAACGGCGCATGAATTTAACCATGAGCTTGCGAAGCATCTTAGAAGCAGCACTGCGCCTGCGCGATGATGCGTACTCAACTGTCATGGGCAAGTGCATGGCGTCCAGGCAGAGATAGGCTAGGTTGGGACAAACACTGCGAAGGGCCGCTAGCAGCCTCACGGATGGATCATCCGTGTGGATCACCCGAACCTGTGAGAGCGCCTCACCAGAAAGTCCCATGCGCAAGGCTTCAGCAATCGAGGGCGCGTCTTCATCAGGAATGGGCGTCATGAGCAGCACCGCACCAGTCCTGCCACGAATTGTCAAGACCTGAGCAGGACTGTCTACAGCGGACCAGGTTTGAGAAGCCATGAGCCCAGTCTACCCAACACAACAACAAAAGCCGACTGTTCCTAATTTAATTTCAGAAAGACATCGCCTTGTACCAGGCCTGCTCTGCGGCGCCTGCGCAGGAGTTGGCCCCCCGATGTCGCCAGTTCGCTTGGCCCATAAGTGCCATGCAGCACTTCATGGTGCCATCAATGCTGATGGAGACATACTCTTCTCTCGCTATAGCCTGCTGGAGAAGCTGCTGGAGGATGTTTAACGCAGCTGCAGAGAAGAAGACGTCCTCGACGATGGGCCACCAATGCCGCGTGTGTTGCGGAAGCCTAAGATGAGAG